ACGATGCCCCAAAGGATCCATTCATTTTTTCTGAAAAGGTGGTGTCTATTTACTTGTGACCATGCTGTGTATGTTCATGTAAGTGCTCATGTCAATGTGTGCATACATGTGTTGTTGCTATTTCTATGTAGTAACTAGTCACAGATTACATGTGACATAAAGATCTATTACATGAAGCATTTTGCAAAAAATAAATGAATTTGAAAAGTTTTTGACACCAGAATATATTAGTTAGATTAGGCTTTGAAAGTATATTATTAGATAAGTATTAAAACTTTTGTATGTTTTAAATATTAGTTATGTGCAATGGAATTGACTTGAAATGTAAAATATTTGGTATTCTGTTTTTAAATGTACTATGTGGCATATTACAGATTCTTTTTTTACTTCCTTGATTAATGAATGTGTTTTACATAATGAACTCTACGTTTTTAATTCCTGTTAAAGCATAGTTATTTGTTAATAGAATGTGAAGCCTATGGAATGTTTTACCTTCAATTGTAGTAGAAGCTGCAACAGTAGAGGAGCTTAAGAGGAGATTGAATGAGCTTGTAGAGATCAGGGTTGGATATAAGAATTTTTTATTTTTTTTATGTAATTTGGATTGGGGTGGTAGTTGAAAACAGGGGGGGAATATATATATATATATATTATTTTGGTTTCAGCACATATCAGAGAGTACATTAATTTCTTATTTAACCATTAACAAAATTTGAACTCGACTGGTAATAACAATTATCATAAAACCAATCTGATACAAAAAAATAGCATAGTGAATTACTTGTATTTTTATACATAACAGTGACAATTAGCTAGGCTTTGCTTATAACTTAAAAAAGTTAGCAGCAGTAGGTTATAAAAGTTATAAATTGTGGAACATAATGTTTTTTTGGTCCATCAAGGATGCCCTGACTTGCAATCTCCCTTAGACAACTAATCGTCAGTAAAGCTGTTCCTGATTCCACAGATATTCATCAACCTCTTTCTTTAACATTAGAAATTTGTAGCCTCTACAACTCTAGATAGCAATTTGTTCTAAAGACTTACCATGCTACTGGAGAAATAAAACTGCCTCAACCAGAAATGTCTGGAGTTTATGATCTCTTGTTCTACTTCCTTTAGAATTAAACACACAAAACATCTATTATTGATTCAGTTAATATTTTAGTTTCAATCTAATTACCCTTGACCCTCCTCTTTTCAGGTGAGAAAAAAACTTATACGAGATTTCTATCTATTTGTTCTTGGATTCATCCTATTTGCTTATCTTTGAACCATCTCCAACAGTTCACTGTCCTCCCTAAGGTAAAGGGTCCAAAAGTGTGCACGATACTTCAAAGTGAGATCTATTGCCTATTAATAAAATTTAATAATACTGTACCTTCTTATTTGTTATAATAACTTGTATGCGTGAAAACTGGAAATCATTGTTGTTTTGATATCACCATGAATTGTAATGTGTCATAACTTATTCTAGTATAAAAAAAAACTACAACAGTATTAACTTCTAACTACTTAAATCAAAACAAACTCAATAACAAGTAGTTAAATAATTTTAAAAAAATATCCTGTTTTGCTATCCATGGTGGGCACAGCACATTGTTTAGCTTTGTGCTTAACATTCAGAAAACAAAGTACATACTGACAATTATAATGCATTGTTTCATCAGTTAGGTTCTTCTGCTGAACATTAACAATAGTTTTACCTGTAAACTCTATAATATCTCGTGAGGTTTGGCCAGCTTAGAAGATCTGTGTTAGTCATATGTACTTCTAGTAATCTAACAATACAA